TACGAGTGCGCGGCCAGCGGGAGCCGCTTCCTGGCGCGGCGCCTGTGCTCGGACCGCTCCTCCCAATGCGCCGAACAACTCCCGCTGGTTCCCTGCAACAAGGCGCAGGAGTCCGACGTGCAGGGCCTCCTGACGGACCTCAAGGCCCAGTCGCAGGTCAGCGGAGAGGGCGGGCTTCTGCGGGCGGACCCGGGAAAGGAAAATCCGTGCCCCTTCCCCAGACATAGGACACCTAAGACGAACTAGAATGGCTTCTTGCTTCTCATGAGCTGAGAGGCAAATGTGATGATAAACGGGATGAAAAAGAGGAAAGGCGCCCCATTTAGCGTTAGGCACCTACTCTGTGCGAGATACCGGGCTAGGTCCTTTACGTCCTACATTAGTCTCCGACAAATACACTGAGTCCAGGTGGGGTTGTTGGCTCAGCCAGAAGAAGGCAGAATTGTCACCAGGAAATGAGTCTGCCTGGCTCTGAAGCACCATCCCACATTTCTTGGAATACATAGCTCAGAGGTTTTTGAAGATGAATGCTGGCTTCACTGGATTTGCCAATATTCCACGTTTTGAGTTCGAGGGGAGTGACATATAGACATCTCCCCGGACTCTTGACAGGACTTGGAAAATGACTGACTTGCAGAGCAAGCAGTTGCACCGAGGGGTTCCAGAGGGGTTCCGGAGGGGTTCCGGGGCTCACTGCCACTCATTTCTCTTACGAGATTAAGACCTCAAACTTGCTTGTTCATCATGACTGCTGAGTAGTTCAAACTTTTTCTGAGGATTTAATAATGTCTTGTAAAAAATGCGACTAAATTAGTATTTTGATGTGTTTTCCTAGGTACTGGGCTGGATCCTGATAGCAGCTGTTATCGTCTGCCTTCTGATTATTGTATCTATCACCCGATGTGTATCTCCAGTTAGTTTTCTACAACTGAGCTTTTGGAAAATCTATGTGGAACAGGAGCAGAAGATCCTCAGAAGTCAAGCCACAGAACATGCAACTGAATTGGCAAATGAGAATGTTAAATGTTTCTTTGAAGGTTCACATCCAAAGGAATGCAAGACCCCGAGCATGAAAGACTGGCAGCAGGTTTCAGAACTATATACTTTCAATCCAAAGAACCAGTACTATAGCATGTTGCACAAATATGTTAACAGAGAAGAGAAGAATCGAAGTATCAGGATTTCGAAAGGAGATGCAGTGGTTCCTGTTCTTGGCTTTGTAGATGCACATGGTATGCACGCCACTGCTGAGTTATGACCCTGTGAATGAATAAAAAGAAAAGCGTTCTTTTGAATTATTACTTCATTTTTTAAAGAATAAACATTGTTATTGTTTATGGTGGTTTTTTACTTTGGCCTTCCAAATTATGGAAGTATGGAATTTTAGATCTGAAATAAAAATTTATAATTTTACCTCTTTATTATATTAATTATTTTAAAAAGGAAGTGAGGTTAAAAGTGTCACTGAAAGTGACAAACTGGAACTAGAACAACAGTTTTATATCCTTAGTCTAGGGTCCTTTATGGTAAATAATATTGCTGCTTTCAAATATAAGACTTTATTTAGTGGTAAAAAACAGTGAAAAAAGCAATTGAATTTCAGGTCTTTCTTTTAGGCTACGTGATATCAATTTCAAGTTCACTTTCTTGCAGGCAACACCTTGTTAGGAACTTTAAAATACTGGCATTTTATGTCTGAACAAAAATACAAAAATTTATCCTGCAAAGGAAGGTAAAATTGTTTAAATACGAAATTTGAAAAACTAGTTTAGGGTAATTGCAGACAATAGTTGTTTTTAGTGTGTGGGATTAGAGGAAAAACTTAAAGCTGTCTATTATGGTAAATTTCAAATATGCACAGACATAGAGAGGATAGTATTATGAACCTCCATATAGTCATTACACAGCTTCAACAATACAGGGAAGTCAGATAAAATCCATATCATACAAATAAAGATAGAAATACAAATTGTGGCCTAATGTAGATGAGGGGAGGTGGGGGGAAGGGGAAATCTGTGAGAAACTGAAATCTGTAGAGTAGAGGAGCCTTTCAGTTTGCAGGAACAGTATGTGCAAAGGCTGAGGGGACAAAGATCTTAGCAGAGTTGGAAGCCTTAAAGGTAACTGGAAAAATGAGCAAGGGACAGATCATGCAGACGATTTTAGGTTCATTCTATGAGCATTTTAGAGATATTGATCTGCTTTTCTTGTGGAAAGTAGGAATGGCCAGGGGAAGAGGGAGAGACAAGGTGGAAGTGGAGAGACTGGGCAGGAGGCCACTGCAGTGGAAACAGGCAGGAGTGAACTTGAACTGGGTTGATAATGATGAAGAGAGAAAAATTAGATAGATTCAAGGTAGATTTTGAATATAGACATGACAGGATGTGTGGATGGAAAGGATACAAGGATTCATTGAGAAGAAGATTATGTATAGATAAATTATGTTGCTTGATGATGTCAGGATTTTTCAGGGAACATTCGATTGTCATTTGGTGTTTACCTATGCCGCCATCTTGGTCTCTCTACTCTTGTTTGTGCATTTTTTAAAAAAATGATATATGGAAACTTTAAACTGTAAAACAATTGAGCACTGACCATGTTTAGCCGTTCTTCCTCTCTTGGCAGACCCTTGTACCAGCTTCTACTTGCCCTTTGTCACAGAAACCCATTAAAAAAACTACCCAGCAGGGCTGAATATCCTGTGGTTGAGAGTCATGTACAACAAGACAGTTGGCAGCAGAAACTGCATGCTCAGCTTTTCTCTATTCCCTAATGAATACTTTTGAAAATCATATCAATCTACTTTCATTTTTGCTTCCTTTATTTCATTTCCTAAATTCTTTCCTTTTTTTTCTGATCTACCATTTACACGTACATCTTCAATAGTCTTACATTGTCTCCATTTTGTTTATCTATGCTCCACGTTGTCTTGCCCAGCCTTTAATAATTACCATTAAAGTATACATGCTTAACATAAACAATGATAATAGTAGGGAAGCATGTGAAGTAAAGAGTAAAATTACCTCATTCCTTTGCAATATATTCTTCCCAGAGGAAGCCTTATGCTCTGTGTCTAGACAAATATTATCACACTATCAATGTGGTTCTCAAACTTTGTCACCTAAAACATTGTTGTTCCATATACATATGTAACAATTTGCCTCATAAAAATTACTGCATAGAATTCTGATTAGTATACTATGATCCCTTTTTGTTAAAAAAAAAAAAAAGTACCAAACCCAAACCAATACTAATAAGCATTAAATTAAATTGTCAATACGCACACACATACCTATAAAGATAAGCATTAAATTGTCAAATTTGGTCAATTCTGGAGACTAATAAAGAGGAAGGGGATTTGTTTTCAAACCTCATGCACTTCTGACCTTTGGATGTTTTGATATTGTATAATAGATACTAACTGTGTTTTTACAAAAGACTAGAGACCCAATGCACGAAATTCGTGCAGGTGTATGTGTGGGTGGGGTCCTTCAGCCCGGTTTGCACCCTCTTGCAATCTGGGACCTCTTGGGGGATGTCCAACTGCTGGTTTAGACCCGATCAGGCCTAAACCGACAGTCGGACATCCCTCTCGCAACCCGGGACCCCTCGCTCCTAAACGCCCACCTGCTCGCTCTTAACCACCCGTCTGCTCACTCATTACGGCCTGCCTGCTCGGTCCTAACTGCTTGGCTCGCTGCTCCTTAGTGCTGCCATGGAGGCAGGAGAGGCTCCCGCCACCACCGCCACGCTCGCCAGCTGTGAGCCCAGCTTCTGGCTGAGCAGTGCTGCATTGAGCATCTGCCCCCTGGTGGTCAGTGCGC